GCCCAATCAGGTCAGATTTTTATGCTATGGGAATTAGGAAAAAATCGAAATTCTTTAATATGATGTCAAAATTTTTATGCAAAATATATCATAAGAAATGTAACCACAACACATAGGACCAAAATATGTCAACTACTGTACATAGATGCCTTTACAGTTAGACATGCATAAATGGCTGTCGCATGTTGATATCCCAGCGACCCTGGTACCGCTCCTCCATTACACGGATATCTTGATGGAAGCATTCTCCTTGTTCCTCACTCACATCACCACAGTTCTCTGGAAAGTAGTCCAAGTGGGAGCTAAGGAAGTGCATCTTGATGGACATGCGTGCACCAAGAACTTTGAAGCTCAGAAGTAGGTCCTCAACAACTCGTTCATACTCTGGACTTCTGTAGTTGCCAAGAAAATTGGAGACAATAGACTTAAAGGCATGCCAGGCTTTCTTCTCATTTACATCCATGCTGCAATCAAACTTGTGATCTTTGAAAAGCTCTCTGATCTGAGGGCCATCAAAAATTCCTGCATTCAGCTGTGCCTCACTGACTTTTGGAAATTTTTCTTTCAGAAAATTGAAAGCCTGGCTTTTTTTGTCCAGTGCCTTTACAAAGTTTTTGAACAGACCGAGCTTGATGTGCAGTACGAATAGAATATCACTAATATAACCGTATTTTAACCGAAAACTATTAAAAAACGAGTAACATCTCTTGAACATCGGAAGGTTAGGTAAAGTCTTGTTTTCGTCATGTATTTTATCCTATTTCACGTTTCAGCTAAACTACTATTCCGGTGCAGTTTAGGTAAAATATACATGTGATGTAAAAATTTTTTAACTGAAAACGATTCGAAAAACACATACCCTCTAGCCGTGTTCAAGGAGAAGACAGCCAGTACATTAGGGGTGTACAGTATTAATTGTTTTTATAGCTCTTTTTTGCATTTTAATATTAAATACTGTACATTACGTTTCAACAAAACTACTAGTCAACGCTCACTTTATGCGGTTAATTCAACCCACGTCAGTGATAGTGATAATTATAGTGAGGATATGGACTTATATGGACTTTGAGGGGATTGACAAAGAGGCCCTGCATGCCTCTGTGGTGGATAGTGATACAGGTGAGGGCCAATAATCTGCCCTCTGCCTCGGAACTAACCCCCCATCCCCGTGTGCCCAGCCATCTTTTCTACTAGTGTTAAAAAGTGTTAAAAAACCTAATATTATTGATATTTCTCTTAATTGTGTGTGCATACCATCATAAAATTAAGATGTTATTTTGACTACAAGGTACATATTGTGTCGGAAAAAGTTGAGTTTGGGGGTCGGCCCAGTGTCTATTTCAATTAATCCCATATGTTCTCTTATTTTATTTACGCATTTCTCGTTTTACGCTGGTTCAATTGACCGCGTAAATGAAGACCCAACTGTACTGTATTGTCAATTTGTGATTTATCCTGTGGGTTTTTACATCCACTGAATCTTCATTTAAAATTTATAGTGATGTTTAATGTCTTGTTCACCTTGGCAGAGTTTTTCCCTGGCACATGCCACTGGCTATGGTGGCCAGCTTACAACCTTGTCGCACCATTACTCGGAACGTATCTTAACGAGGTCCCGCTGCATAAGAGTAATACTGTATTTCCAATTGGCCCCTCGTGAGCTGTTGTAACCCTTAAACAGATGAGATGGAGCATTAGTGGGGACCTTGTATTTGCTAGGAATTAATATCACTTTTGATATTATATTCAACTCAGAGGGGAACACAATTGTTTGTTAAATTTGCACTTAGTATTTTATCTTGCTAGAGCTTCATGCACACAATACTTGGTCTGTATGGCAACTTGCCCACCTTCTCTACTGCTATATGTATTGAGAACTACCGGTAATGCATGTGAATTTTCAGCTGTGGTATTGATTGGGTGGAGTACTGCGGTGAATGCACATAAGAATTGTGAGGAGAACTTACCAAAGCCATGGAGGCTCTGAGATGTAGGGAGAAGATCATGTCGGAACTGAAACTACATAAAATAGGATTGGATGTTTGTAGGTAAAACCAAATTTGATGTATGACAATGAACAAAAACACCAACCGATCCCCTTCACCACCCTCCCCACCACCAACCAACCCACCCCTCCCCACCACCAACCCACCCCCCCTCCCACCCACTCCTACCACCATCACCACCACCCTCCCCACCACCAACCCACCCCCTTCAACCACCATCACCACCACCCTCCCCACTATCAACCCACCCCTCCAACCACCCTCCCCACCACCAATCCACCCCCCTCCCACCCACTCCTACCACCATCACCACCACCCTCCCCACCAACCAACCCACCCTCCCCACCACCAACCTACCCTCCCACCCACTCCACTCACCATCACCACCACCTCCCCACCACTAATCCACCCTCCCACTCCACTTACCACCATCACCCTCCCCACCACTGTACTTGCGATTGGCCCTCGTGAGCTGTTGTAACTATCCTGGTGTCGACATCATTGTTGCATAGCATTTTATTTTGCCCAGTTTCGTCCACATTGAACACTTGCTGTGAAAGATAATTTTCTTCTTCAATCAGTTCTTTAAATTCATCTAAAAACTTTGCTGCCCCTTCCTTATCAGCACTAGCAGCTTCACCATGCCTAGCAACACTGAAAATGTCACTTCTTTTCTTAAATTTTTCGAACCAGCCTTTGCTGGCCCGAAAATCTTCAAATTCTGTGCCTGAAGAACCAGGTTGATCTGTCTTTAAATGTTCGTAAATCTCCCTGGCTCTTTCACAAATGAATTCAGTAGAAACTGAATCACCTTTCATCTGTTTTTCCCTAATCCAGATGATAAGTAACCTCTCAGTTTCTGCAATTAGGGATCTACTTTTAAACACTCTTGTAGATTTGTCTCTCGCTTTCACTTTTTTAAATATGTCTTTCTGTGCAAGAATTGTCGACACAGTTGATGTTGACATGCCGCATTTGTTCTTATGCCTTGTTCATGTTTTTTTTTTATTTACTGCTTGGTTTGGATTGAAATCGTTGTATTGGATGTACAATGCAGTTTGGTGCTGGGAAGGCAGCATGGTTACAAGCGTGTTGTAGAGAGAGCTGGTTGGTGAGGATGCTCAGAGAAGGACAGCTTGTGGGTCGCCATGCTCGCCAGCGGGAGAGACGACCGCCAGGCACTGGGGAATTGGTGGGGTCTGCTAGGCAGCGACAAACAGCGGTTGTAGTGGAGAATTCCACTACACCTGCTTTTTAAAGTTAAACTTGTTGTTACCTCCAGTGAAAACAGAGAGAGACTAACGCCTGTTTGCTGTGTTAAGAGGCGGGATGCTGCGCATTAAACTCGTCACTTTACCTTCAATAATGGTTCAAATTACTAAAAAATTTAGTATTAAACTTTTAAAATTATTGAATAGTATAAACTTGATATTTACTAAAATAGTAGGGAGGTGCATTATTTGGCTGCCAAATCTTTTCAGTGCTTGATGGTGGAGGTCACTGAGGGATGGCATTTCCAGGGTGGAGAGAGTATTGATGTAGCCTGAGTATTCTGAAGATCAATTTAACCTAAGCCAATCTACGTATTACAATGTGTTGGCGAATCTTTCTTTTTCAGATCATGGGACAACAGACCACGAGTGAAGCTTCTCACAATACACAACGGTGTTCCTTCAGGTCAATTTTAACGTTTTGTGTGATGGTGTGGGTGTGCGTAGCTTGCTATGGTGTCATTTAATCTTTGGTGAGAGTGTAGCTGGGTGTGGCTTGTTGTGGGGTCATATAACGTTTTGCGAGAGGGTGCATGTGGGAGGGAATGTCTAATCAGCTTTAATAAACCTTGTGTATAGTGCATGAAGCAGTGTAGTACAGTACAGTACAGTATAGTGTAAACTAATGTGGAGGTAATGATTTAGGTAAACAGTTGGGGACAGTTTAAGTACATGTGATCTATTTGCAAGTTTAATTTTCATTGTACGTAAATTACAACTTTAAACACGTTGCAGGTAACAGCTGATGTACGTGAAGGCCAATGGAGAAGTGACAGAACCTTGAGCAAGATTTAACAGCAGCATGTTACTTCAGCCTCATCAGTTAAGTTACTTGTACAGTATATCTTAGCTAGTATCTTTATCCAATAAACCACTCGACAATGCTCCTACACTGGGCAGTGGAGGGTGTGTGTGGGGCCGCCTAACACTGATTCCAAAAATGCCATTCATTTTGCCCAATCAGGTCAGATTTTTATGCTATGGGAATTGGGAAAAAATCGAAATTCTTAAATATGATGTCAAAATTTTTATGCAAAATATATCATAAGAAATGTAACCACAACACATAGGACCAAAATATGTCAACTACATAGATGCCTTTACAGTTAGACATGCATAAATGGCTGTCGCAGAGAATTTCTTTGGTGGTTGGTGTCTGGGGCGTCCCGTTTCAGACACCAATAGTAGTCGGCGAGCATGTTAATATCCAAGCGACCCTGGTACTGCTCCTCCATTACACGGATATCTTGATGGAAGCGTTCTCCTTGTTCCTCACTCACATCACCACAGTTCTCTGGAAAGTGGTCCAAGTGGGAGCTGAGGAAGTGCATCTTGATGGACATGCGTGCACCAAGAACTTTGTAGCTCAGAAGTAGGTCCTCAACAACTCGTTCATACTCTGGACTTCTGTAGTTGCCAAGAAAATTGGAGACAATAGACTTAAAGGCATGCCAGGCTTTCTTCTCATTTACATCCATGCTGCAATCAAACTTGGGATCTTTGAAAAGCTCTCTGATCTGAGGGCCATCAAAAATTCCTGCATTCAGCTTTGCCTCACTGACTTTTGGAAATTTTTCTTTCAGAAAATTGAAAGCCTGGCTTTTTTTGTCCAGTGCCTTTACAAAGTTTTTGAACAGACCGAGCTAGATGTGCAGTACGTAATAGAACACTACTATAAATCAGATTTTAACCGAAAACTATTAAAAAACGAGTAACATCTCTTGAACATCGGAAGGTTAGGTAAAGTCTTGTTTTCGTCATGTATTTTATCCTATTTCACGTTTCAGCTAAACTACTATTCCGGTGCAGTTTAGGTAAAATATACATGTGATGTAAAAATTTTTTAACTGAAAACGATTCGAAAAACACATACCCTCTAGCCGTGTTCAAGGAGAAGACAGCCAGTACATTAGGGGTGTACAGTATTAATTGTTTTTATAGCTCTTTTTTGCATTTTAATATTAAATACTGTACATTACGTTTCAACAAAACTACTAGTCAACCCTCACTTTATGCGGTTAATTCAACCCACGTCAGTGATAGTGATAATTATAGTGAGGATATAGACTTATATGGACTTTGAGGGGATTGACAAAGAGGCCCTGCATGCCTCTGTGGTGGATAGTGATACAGGTGAGGGCCAATAATCTGCCCTCTGCCTCGGAACTAACCCCCCATCCCCGTGTGCCCAGCCATCTTTTCTACTAGTGTTAAAAAGTGTTAAAAAACCTAATATTATTGATATTTCTCTTAATTATTAATTGTTTGTGCATACCATCATAAAATTAAGATGTTATTTTGACTACAAGGTACATATTGTGTCGGAAAAAGTTGAGTTTGGGGGTCGGCCCAGTGTCTATTTCAATTAATCCCATATGTTCTCTTATTTTATTTACGCATTTCTCGTTTTACGCTGGTTCAATTGACCGCGTAAATGAAGACCCAACTGTACTGTATTGTCAATTTGTGATTTATCCTGTGAGTTTTTACATCCACTGAATCTTCATTTAAAATTTATAGTGATGTTTAATGTCTTGTTCACCTTGGCAGAGTTTTTCCCTGGCACATGCCACTGGCTATGGTGGCCAGCTTACAAGCCTTGTCGCACCATTACTCGGAACGTATCTTAACGAGGTCCCGCTGCATAAGAGTAATACTGTATTTCCAATTGGCCCCTCGTGAGCTGTTGTAACCCTTAAACAGATGAGATGGAGCATTAGTGGGGACCTTGTATTTGCTAGGAATTAATATCACTTTTGATATTATATTCAACTCAGAGGGGAACACAATTGTTTGTTAAATTTGCACTTAGTATTTTATCTTGCTAGAGCTTCATGCACACAATACTTGGTCTGTATGGCAACTTGCCCACCTTCTCTACTGCTATATGTATTGAGAACTACCGGTAATGCATGTGAATTTTCAGCTGTGGTATTGATTGGGTGGAGTACTGCGGTGAATGCACATAAGAATTGTGAGGAGAACTTACCAAAGCCATGGAGGCTCTGAGATGTAGGGAGAAGATCATGTCGGAACTGAAACTACATAAAATAGGATTGGATGTTTGTAGGTAAAACCAAATTTGATGTATGACAATGAACAAAAACACCAACCGATCCCCTTCACCACCCTCCCCACCACCAACCAACCCACCCCTCCCCACCACCAACTCCACTCCCCCTCCCACTCCACTCCTACCACCATCACCACCACCTCCCCACCACCAACCCACTTCTTCAACCACCATCACCACCACCTCCCCACTATCAACCCACCCTCCAACCACCTCCCACCACACACCAATCCACCCCCCTCCCAATTCAATCTACCACCATCACTCCTCCCCACCACTGCATTTCATGATTGGCCCTCGCAAGTGTGAGCTGGGTTAAACTGTGTCGATATCATTGTTGCACATAGTATTTTATCTTGCCCAGTTTCGTCCACATTGAACACTTGCTGTGGAAGATAATTTTCTTCTTCAATCAGTTCTTTAAATTCATCTAAAAACTTTGCTGCCCCTTCCTTATCAGCACTAGCAGCTTCACCATGCCTAACAACACTGAAAATGTCACTTCTTTTCTTAAATTTTTCGAACCAGCCTTTGCTGGCCCGAAAATCTTCAAAGTCTGTGCCTGAAGAACCAGGTTGATCTGTTTTTAAATGTTCGTAAATCTCCCTGGCTCTTTCACAAATGAATTCAGTAGAAACTGAATCACCTTTCATCTGTTTTTCCCTAATCCAGATGATAAGTAACCTCTCAGTTTCTGCAATTAGGGATCTACTTTTAAACACTCTTGTAGATTTGTCTCTCACTTTCACTTCTTTAAATATGTTGATGTCGACATGCCGCATTTGTTCTTATGCCTTGTTCATGTTTTTTTATGATTTAGTGCTTGGTTTGGATTGAAATCGTTGTATTGGATGTACAATGCAGCTTGGTGCTGCAGCATGGTTACAAGCGTGATGTAGAGAGAGCTGGTTGGTGAGGATGCTCAGAGAAGGACAGCTTGTGGGTCGCCATGCTCGCCAGCGGGAGAGAGGACCGCCAGGCACGGGAATTGTAATCTGCTAGGGCAGCTATTAAACAGCGGTTGTAGTGAGAATTCACTACACCTGCTTTTTAAAGTTAAACTTGTTGTTACCTCCAGTGAAAACAGAGAGAGACTAACGCCTGTTTGCTGTGTTAAGAGGCGGGATGCTGCGCATTAAACTCGTCACTTTACCTTCAATAATGGTTCAAATTACTAAAAAATTTAGTAGTAAACTTTTAAAATTATTGAATAGTATAAACTTGATATTTACTAAAATAGTAGGGAGGTGCATTATTTGGCTGCCAAATCTTTTCAGTGCTTGATGGTGGAGGTCACTGAGGGATGGCATTTCCAGGGTGGAGAGAGTATTGATGTAGCCTGAGTATTCTGAAGATAAATTTAACCTAAGCCAATCTACGTATTACAATGTGTTGGCGAATCTTTCTTTTTCAGATCATGGGACAACAGACCACGAGTGAAGCTTCTCACAATACACAACGGTGTTCCTTCAGGTCAATTTTAACGTTTTGTGTGATGGTGTGGGTGTGCGTAGCTTGCTATGGTGTCATTTAATCTTTGGTGAGAGTGTAGCTGGGTGTGGCTTGTTGTGGAGTCATATAACGTTTTGCGAGAGGGTGCATGTGGGAGGGAATGTCTAGTCAGCTTTAATAAACCTTGTGTATAGTGCATGAAGCAGTGTAGTACAGTACAGTACAGTATAGTGTAAACTAATGTGGAGGTAATGATTTAGGTAAACAGTTGGGGACAGTTTAAGTACATGTGATCTATTTGCAAGTTTAATTTTCATTGTACGTAAATTACAACTTTAAACACGTTGCAGGTAACAGCTGATGTACGTGAAGGCCAATGGAGAAGTGACAGAACCTTGAGCAAGATTTAACAGCAGCATGTTACTTCAGCCTCATCAGTTAAGTTACTTGTACAGTATATCTTAGCTAGTATCTTTATCCAATAAACCACTCGACAATGCTCCTACACTGGGCAGTGGAGGGTGTGTGTGGGGCCGCCTAACACTGATTCCAAAAATGCCATTCATTTTGCCCAATCAGGTCAGATTTTTATGCTATGGGAATTGGGAAAAAATCGAAATTCTTAAATATGATGTCAAAATTTTTATGCAAAATATATCATAAGAAATGTAACCACAACACATAGGACCAAAATATGTCAACTACATAGATGCCTTTACAGTTAGACATGCATAAATGGCTGTCGCAGAGAATTTCTTTGGTGGTTGGTGTCTGGGGCGTCCCGTTTCAGACACCAACAGTAGTCGGCGAGCATGTTGATATCCAAGCGACCCTGGTACCGCTCCTCCATTACACGGATATCTTGATGGAAGCGTTCTCCTTGTTCCTCACTCACATCACCACAGTTCTCTGGAAAGTAGTCCAAGTGGGAGCTGAGGAAGTGCATCTTGATGGACATGCGTGCACCAAGAACTTTGTAGCTCAGAAGTAGGTCCTCAACAACTCGTTCATACTCTGGACTTCTGTAGTTGCCAAGAAAATTGGAGACAATAGACTTAAAGGCATGCCAGGCTTTCTTCTCATTTACATCCATGCGGCAATCAAACTTGGGATCTTTGAAAAGCTCTCTGATCTGAGGGCCATCAAAAATTCCTGCATTCAGCTTTGCCTCACTGACTTTTGGAAATTTTTCTTTCAGAAAATTGAAAGCCTGGCTTTTTTTGTCCAGTGCCTTTACAAAGTTTTTGAACAGACCGAGCTTGATGTGCAGTGGCGGAAGAAGAATGTTCTGCGGATTCACCAGAGCATGGGCAACAACATTGTGAGAACCTGGAGTAAGTCCACTTCTTGCAGGCCAGTCACGTTGCATGTAGTGCTGCTTGTCTGCTCGACTATCCCACAGACAGAGGAAACATGCCATGTACAACCAGATGAAAAAGGAAATTTAATTGTGAGAAAATATATGTAAAAAAACACGGACATATACTCTTTTCCTTTGCGTCACGGCGGACATTTAAATGGCCGGCGAGCACGTGGGTGTATTTAAATGCATCGTAAGGGCATTAAAACTGACCGAAATCTTTTCTGTGAGGCTTGCCAATGTCTCGGATGATTTTTTAATGAACGAATATGAGGACCCCATTTTGAGCGAAAAATGCCAATATTTTACCTGAATCTCCGCTTAAAATGCTATAGCACAAAATTCTGACCTGATTGAGCAAAATGGATAACATTTTTGAGATCAGCATGCAAAATACACCCAGAAAAGCTTAATAATACACAAACCTCAAAAACTATGCAGGGCAGTGTTATCCTTGCATACAAGAAATATATAAAAATTCTCTTTAAATAACCCGAATAACGCCTAGAGCCTGTGTAATTTATTATAAACAACTTTCTTGAGAGCTGAAGTTTTTATTTTGTTCATAAATAAGAAACAGAATATCATAGGAATAAACACATTTTCATATTTTTTCTCCGTGGAGACGTCGGTGGCGCCACAGATGTCGCCATAGGCTATGAATTATCCATAAGGCAGCCGCCAGGCCTCCCTGATGCACGTGTTTACTTCACACGCTGCGCCCCTACCCACTCTCCTCTCACACCACCTCTGTCTTCCTCCCTTAGGAACAGTAGAAGTTTTTGTCGTGATTTTAAATAATTAATTTAAGCAATAGAAAAGGACCAATTTTGACGTTTAATTTTAGGCTTCCAGTAAAGGCAAACTGATCCTAACACAGTAAGTATTAGCCACCTGGAATTAGTTGTCACCTCCACACCACAGGAATATAAGTATTGTATGAAGAAACAGAGAAGAAATAATATAATGTATAAAGAAAAAAAGCGAACAGTATGGTATCGATGATAGAGCTGTAGTGTGCCGCTTGCCCCTCATCGTGCTAGACCCCACTAGTCGGCTGAAAACTGTCACCCAGCTGAACATTGCAGATTTTCTCCGTTTACTCCCGTTTCCTCCTGTTTTAAAACTATAGCCTTGGTGGAGATGGGGGCATGGCACTCATCGGACATGTAGCGAGAATGGTCAGTTATAATTGATAGAGCTACACATTGTAAATAGAATCATTAACCCATCAATCAAACACTCACTTTAAAATCTCATGAAGTATACAGCTGCAGTCCTGCTGACAATGTACTTTGAGAAATAACAGCATAGTCAATCACATACTACCATTAGTGTAATGACTCATACCTTACTACCTAGCAGTTGTTTATACATGTACAATAAACTCTTAAGAATATACAAAGACAAAACTGTACAGTACTATTAATTCAAAATTTCTCTCTGAAGTGAACAAACGTCACACCTCCTGGTCGTCCTCACTATAAGGTTTCGCTTTAAACAGTCTCAGCGAAGTGTCTTCCTGAGGCAATTTAATTTTGTAAGTATACTGTACGGACCTCGGTATAAAGATTTCGTTCAAAAAATAAAAATGTGTAAGGAATGTTACCTAGAATAATCAGCTTTATCTGGGATGCTAAACCTTGTAAATAAGAAATATAATTTATCTTCCAACAGGTCAGTAGCATCACCAAGAAAAAAAATGCATTATGCGGTTTTTCAGAATCGAAAATTTTTCCCAAATATTCATCTTCAGAAACAATAATTGATTGTAGTTTTCCAGAATAAACATTTATAATGTTTAATAGTTTGTACTTATCATCGCCTAACCTTACAAATTATGTCGGTCATTCCCAGGATGAGTGAAAAAACTACGTTGCCACCCTAGAAAGAAAATATCCCTGAGATGTCGTTACTTGTAAAAAGTAGCCAGTGGATGTCATTTTCGGAAAGAGAACAGCCCGGGGTATTATCCACAAAAAACAAGTCTCCATGGATTGTTGTCCCCAAGAAAAAGTTTTCATGAATGTCGTCTTGAGGTAGAGTCTGTAATAGTTGTAGCCAGGGAAAAAGATTCAAGTAAAAATTTACAAGTGTGTCGTCACAAAAAAAGTGTTGGTAACAGAGCAACACGAAGGAGTCTTCACACTGCTACAGTGTTTCGACATGACTTTCGCATTAACATGTCGCGGAAGTTTAATGTGTCGCAGGGTAGGGCGGGCAGCCTGGTGCTGTAGTGGTTGTTACGAGCTTTTGTTATTTACCAGGAACCGGGTGGTAACAGACCCCACAGACTCAAACAGATTTACTTAAATTCATGATCATGTTTAGCATAATGCTCCTTCAATATTAAGCGCTACTCAAGCATTCTGTATTACTATAGGAGAGAAGAAGTAAAGACTATGTTGGAATGTACAGTGCAGCTTTTGCAACACACCGTGACCTAATGCATTTTAGGCGTATACCTTTTGTCCTAAAAACCGCTTGTACCACCTTCATTAGACTGATGCGAAAGGTGATCTATGGCTTGTAGTACACTGAAAGTTACTTTGACAATGTAGTAATCCATAACTCTACTTGGAATGAACACTTGAAGTACCTTAGGGAGTTATGTGAAAGGTTACTAAAACACGGATTAACTGCTGGTCCCGGGAAATGTTTTTTTGCTCAACCAAAGATTAATTACTTAGGATTTCTCGCTTGGTGAAAATGAATCATCATTGCTAAAAGACAAAAGTAAATGCCATTGTGAACATGACTTTACCAAATAACAAAAATCTAATAAAAAAAAATCAGTTTAGATCGTTCCTTGAGGTTTTCAAAAGATACGACAAGGCACATGGACGACACCGAACGTCTTTACCTATTACTGTCTCATGGTTTTACTTTGAGACGACAGTTACTTAAGTGAAGACTAAAATAAACCTGGATACTCAACGTCCACTAAACCTCTTGTAGGATAAGAGCATACAACATTCCCCTTATTATTTTCATCAAAGGTCAGTGGAGAGAACCTACTATACTATAAAGTCGGGACCCCTTAATAAGCTACAACATAGACAGGTTTTGACCAATTATATAATATTAACCTAAACGTGAAGCTTAAACGAAAATGAAGGAAGGAAGAAATGGGAATAGCTGAACGTGCCAGAGATACTACTGTGAACCATGGCATCAGTAAACTCACTACCCACTGAGAGCACTTTCACCACCACAACACGGCCATAGAGGAGAGCTGAGTGGAATCTGGTGCGTGGGTTTCGTCAAAACAAACACTGCCGCAGCGCAATGTGTACACAAAACTAGGCAAGCAGTGACAGGTAGCCCGGGAGACGACCCTTTTATTACACCCAGCATGTCCAGTAACTACCTCCTGCTGAGTCCTGTTATTTCTTCTCCTTGTGTCGTGCCGGTGGCGTCTCTTGTCGGCAGTGGCACTCCTCATGTTAGTGGTCAACAGAGAGTCTCCTTTAATAGCTAGGTTTGTGGCGTGTTTAAGTCGTTGTTCTGTCTGGTAAGGAGTCTGTAGTTGTAGTTGTGGTCCCCGAGAGGGTTTGGCAGCTGTCTCTAACATAACATATTTGTTATACGTTCTGTGCCTCAAAGATGACCCCATTGTGAGTATCTAGTGGTCCCTAGTGTAAATACCGAGTGGTTACTAGTGTCTCTATACCTACTAGTGACTTTACCTAACAGTCCCCAATGTCTACTTAATACCCCTATTGTGTCTACCTTGTACCCCGTAATGAGTTCTGTAAACGATCCTACTGTAAGTGTTTTAAGCCAGCAGTAACCATTAGGCCAGGATAATGGTCACCAGGATGTCACCATGTCTTACAACATTACTTACAGAGAAGTCTTCGCCTGCGTGATGGTCGACAGTATCTCTCGGTGAGTTTTTCATAACTAATAATTGTCAAGTAAATATTGTTTCTGGTCCTTTATTGCAGTTACCAGCGCTTCTTGTTAGTATTCCTTGTGTGTCTTTTAGTGTTCCTTGAATGTCTTGTTAGGTTCCTTGTGTTTTGAACTAGGTGTGTTGTTAGTGTAGCTAATTCAACACACTGGTTATTGAATGACACTACCACCATCATCAGCTGTGGTTAATGTAGTTCATCAGTGCGGTGAAGAAAGTACTTGGTCAGACTCCCCCCCCCCATGTACATCAGTATACAACACCTCATACAACGAAATTATACAATACGAGTGTTTACACCTTTGTATAAACTGTGGTAAAATTTCAGCTACAAAAT